TCTCTGACGCGAACGCCCAGTTCGGTTTTAGCGTACAACACGACTCCTCCCCCCTTTCTGCCGAGCCGATCCTTCCGCAAGATGTCGTATCCTTCGATCTCGAATTCCTTATCCGAAATGTGAGAACCTCCCCAAGTCTCGGTTATTCCGATGACATCGAAACCGTCGTCCAGTGCCCGCCCCCTGAGCTCGTCTATTTTATTACGTAAGCTGCGTGCGTGTAGACCATCAATTGACATTCTTGCACAATCAGCTCATCCTCCTTTCCCGTGGTCTTCTGTTTTCTTCCACTTCCCTGTTCGTCCGCCACGCCATCGGTCTTTTTGAACGTTTCAGCTTAGTGATGTGCCATTGACTTCGAGCAGCCAACTTGGTTCAAAGAAAGCTTGGTCCCAAGCTTATGGGTACAAATGAAAACAATTTCCCAACACTGCTTTCGCGTTAGCGCCACGATTATCGAAAACAGTTTTATGATCTATTTTTGCTTCGAAAAAAGGCTTAAATTCATAAAAGCGAAGCCTAAACTTTATGGGTGATCAGGACCCGACGTATTCCGTTCGCACACATCATCTCAACCGCTAATCTCGCTCCTTTCCTCAGACCTGTTTGGTTTAAAATTTTTTTTTTTTTTAACAGGCCTGTATTCTGCATTTTATTTGAGGTGATCTAGTGCAGTGGTTCTCAACTGGTGGATCGCGAGAGAATGAAATGAATTAAAAGTAAAAGTATATTACTAGAGCTTGACTTTCCTGAGACGATCTAAGAAGGCGGCACAGGGAGAAGGCTTGCTGGCAAACAACACCAAGAAAGGGCAAACAGCTTTAAAATGTCTTTTTATTCATTCTTGTTCTTAACCTTCATCTTCAGTGAATTCCTCGTCAGTTCTAGCATTCCCTCTGATTTCTCGATGCCGTGGTTTAGGGTGACACGGTCTTTTTCGGACAGAAGCCGACATTTATTTTCTCGTTTCTCTTGGACCTGAACTGATATATTTCCTCCGCTATTTTTTTTGGGAGGGGAAGGTTTATGAAGTTCTTGTCATCCATAATTTCCTGTAGTTACATTTTTTGGTTCAATATTCAAATGCAGATGGATTGTTTCCTAATAAAACCGAGTGCGAGCGCTGATTCTAATGGTAGCACTCCTGGTGCCATTGAAACAGAAGTCGGCAGAGAAGTCGAAACTAGTACCAATCCGGAGGTTTAATTATTCATACCTTCTGTGTGGCTTCAGTGTCAGAAAGTATAAAACCAGAATGCATAGTTTTTGGTAAACTGTTGGCCAATGCATCCGTAAGCCTTCAAAATTGAAGCAGCATTTAGATCGATATAACCCAACATTGAAGGATAAACCAGTCGAGTTCTTTCAGAGGAAGCTCGAAGAGGAAACAGAAAGGAATGAAGAAATCACCAGTGCCCATAGCAATATATATTAAAAGCGTCATTTACGTATTTAAAAAATGCAATTAACTTTTTTTCGAGCCACACGCTGCATTATTTCTGGACGTTTCTAAATTTGTGGGTCACATACATTTTGGGAAGGGTGCTTGATGGGTCGTGTCATTAAAAAGGTTGAGAACCACTGACCTAGTGTGCCCCAGTGTCGACAATGAATAAGACTGAAAGAGAAGATATTCCAGCCCTCCTGTGAGTATCTTCATTTTCAATATTGAATATTGAGTCCGTGAGATATTTATCTTTACCTGGCCATGGCTAGAGAATGCTGTGCTGAGACAACCTGGCATCATTAGGAGGCAGGGAAATCACTGCAGAGCCTTAGAGTACTATAGGGTGTCTGATAAGTCGCTTTCTTATATTTATTTTATTTTTTTCCTGGTGTGGAATACGTTTGTTATTGATATACAAAAAATGTGGCATTGGTCATGAGGATTATCTGTGAAAGCAGTGAAATAATCAATTAGAGCACCAGCCCAGGTATAGATCTGCCATTCCACTAGCCGCTATACCACTGGAATTACCCCCATCCACCACATTCTCACCATCCGGCTTAAAAGTAAATTAAATAAAGCTGTCATTCGTACGTCGCAAGCCTACGTGGAGAGTCCCGGAAAACTCGAGAAAGGTCCTCGCGCGTTCGCGTCTCGTGAAGGTGGGAGGAGAGTGCAACCTGGAGGATGCCAGGGCATTTCACGAGTACGCACAGCAACCCTGTCCACACTGCCACGAATAGCCGCTCTCTCCCTTTGTCTACTCTGGATCCGTCATCCGCGAGAAGTAGAAGTGGGATTCGTATAGACGCACAGGTGATCGAGCCGAATACGAAGGATATAGCGTTGCCATGAAGTCACTGAAGCAAGAAATTAGGTCGGCGAAACGGGAGGTAGAGAAGCGGCTAGCTATAAATGCTAAAAATTATCCTTAGGCATTTTATCCTCATGCCAGCGATAGGCGTGGACATTCGATCAGGCCCTTCTAGGATGCCAGGGGGGAGTTACTTGCAAATAGCAAAGGCATGACAATGATTCTCAGCGATTTCTTTGCCTCTGTGTTCACGATAGAATCCTATGACGTTCCGACGATGACGGTTGTCACTTCGGCATGTGTTGAGGATCTGACAATCACCGAGGAAGAGATCATAAGTAGGATAGTAGAACTAAAGGTTGGAAAGGTATCAGGAGCTGATAGGATTCCGGCTCGTGTCATGAAGCAACTCGGGAGGGAAGTATCGATTCCGTTGAAAATCGTCGAGAAGAGCAAGTAAGGGTCAGGCATAGGCCAAAAAATCTGGCTACCCTGGCTACACCACTGTAGCCATTACAAGTTTAGTCAGTGGCATGTGTGGACTATTTCAAGGCATTCAGTGCCACCAACCATCAGTGCCTGACAGTAGAGACGGAGTGCTTCCAAGCCCATTCCAGAATTAGGAGATGCCTAACAGATCTTATGGACTTGTGGGAAAATGTAGCTGCTATTATAACAGCTATATTTTATTTTATACGGCTGTTCACGTTGCTATGCACTTTTTACAGTACATATATCTCCAATATTCTATGTACAAGGACTTCATTTGGGTTTGTGAGTAAATCCCTCGAGATAATGAACACCTCGTGGTAAATTTTTGCTTTGGTACCTTGGAATTCATTTAACAAGGTTTGACAGTGATTGGAAGGACTGGAGAACCTTTTTCAGCAGCAAAGATCCATTCTCTGCAACCTGGGAGCGTTGTCTGTTATTACATAAGCCTATTGCAGATACGAAATTGAGACAAGAATTTCTATTATCTATGATAACTGGGAAATGGAATAAATTACTGACTGGCATGGCAGAGGCTGCAACTGTATAAAAGAATAGTAGGATATTTCCAGAATGTGACTATTCACACTTGGAATGCTTTAGATATGAATTTTTTGTTGATCCTTTTGGTGCCACGGAAACGATATATCATCGATCAAGCCTATGGATCGATTGTGAGCCACTAAGAGGGTTAATAAGCTAGAAAAATATTTGGAGATCTCACTGAAACATAATACGGGCCTTGAGCCTCCTATGGTCTGAAAATCCATATTTTGTCGTTTGCCTCTCCCATCATTCCATAAAATACTGTAAAAATAAAATTTTCTTGGTAGGGAATATTCCTCTTGTGAAAAAACACCCCCTCCTTCTCTCCTTTTGCCTCTTTGAGCTGTAGTTTCTGTCTTTTCGCTTTTTGCGCGATGATGATTTCATGTTGCGTGTCATTGAAAAATTTGCCAAATGTGTAGCATAGTAAGAAATGAAGGGGAAAGAGTCTATCGCAGTTTGAAAAGGCAGAGGGAGTGAATAGTTTTTTCTTGGATAGTATATGTTACCTCGAAGATGGGCTTATGCCAATCTGTTGCAAGTTGCATGTCACTAAATGCGTCTGAGTTACCCTATTCTTTTTTTTCACAGGATCTGAGCAATTCTCTGAGGGAGCTAGTGGAGGACTCAATCCAGCCATTGTCTCAGATTGAATCTGTGGGATTAATGATTGCGCATTTGGGGACTTTGAGGGACTCTCTCAGTTCCCAAGAGCTTCCGTTCCTCTGGATTGGACCTGGAGTCGTAGAGTGTGAGCTTCAGAAGATGAAATTTATACTTTTAGAAATCCATGAGCATTTTGAGACGTTCATTGACAAGAAAGAACATGCAATCGAGGTATGTGGAACGTGGGTCGATTTCCCAGTGGTTGTTGCCAAACTCAATGTAGTAGAATTTCTTATGCTCTGATGCTTGCACACTAGTGTTTAGAAGCGCTGAGATGTGCCCTCAAATTGCAAAGCCTTGGGGAAATGATTGAAGTCAGGAATCTGGTTGAGAAGGGGCTTGACCTATGTCGTGCCATATATAAACTGAGTTTCCAGCTGTCTCTTGCATGGGATGCAGGCTCCAAGATGGTCTCAGCCCTCTCCTCCATCATCTGTACCCATTCTGTTTGTTCTTTGATCATCTCATGCCTCTTTTACATTGCAATTTGCAATGCAATTACCTAATTCCCCATTTCTGTTGGCAGGAGTGCCTCAACGTCTGGGCAGATGTGACTGAGGTGCATAATGAAATCCAACCTCTCTTGGAAGAGATCAAGGATGTTTCTTCGTCATCCACAGATGATGAGGATCATCATGGCTCCATCGTAGAGCTCCTTCAAGGGAAACATTGGGCATCTGCCATACGAGAGTTTCGAGCTCAGAGGTGAGACTCATCTCTTGTCAACATATCTATGGTGCCTTGTTTGATGAGCGTCTAGAGGTTTATTGGCTATTCATTTACATTTGTTCACAATCAGGGGAATGGATTCTTCATCTTGCCTTATGGCGTCTGAAGCCACTCTGACAGATGACTTACAGACAATACTCACTTCCTACATGGAATATTTGAGCTCAAACAGTAAAGGCATGTGAAATTCTATTAACTTAGTCTCTTAATGCAGTCTCTGCTGTTTCACCTCAATGATTTGCAAATATTTTGTAGGTGTAGTATGTCTCCCAAGTGTGGAGCAGTTTCAGAATGACCAGATGTTGATGGAGGGCAACATCCAACTGCTGTCAATGCTCCGCTCCTTAGAGCAAGGATCTGTCATGGAGTGCACATCCTCCCCAAAGAAGACTTTTCCCGTTCTTGTGTGAACACATTCACAAAACCAGATTCTCATTCCTCTCCTTACCTCTATTTTTTTCCCCTTCATGCCTTGTTTGAGTTTTGTTTGTAATACTCATCATGTTTCCAGTATCAGTAATAATCGTTATGGCACATGAATAAAAGGCATTATGCATGCAGTCACTCTCTTCATCTGTGGTTATCTAAAAATGACCACCTGAAGTAGGAGAAATATGGCATATTCATAATAGATCTTAGTTTATTCAGTTCTAACTCAGTATCGTCTGTATAGCATCACATGTATCACTTGTCGTATTTATATGTCGTATTTATAGGCGATGTGACGTACACGTAACATCGAACATCGTAGCCTCAAATCACGTATCAAAAACATGCAGGGCCGAAAACACGTACAATGTTAGCAAAAATGGTTCAGCTTTTATCCCATAAAGGGTGTTTCAACTGCAACTCATATTTATCCTTTGTGGGTTACATATTTAGCCTTTTTCATGGGTTAAATTAAAAATTATTTTTAAAAAAGTTAAATAATAAACAGACCTGGATTAATCTATTGTATAACCTTCAGAATATACATCAATAGGCGTGGTAGCGCCTATTACCTCTCTTCAACCCCTTATTGTAACAAAATTCAAACTCCTCGTATTCCTCTCTGAGAGCATCAATAGGAACGAAATTAGGCATGTTTCTTTCTCTCTCAACACAGAATCAATCCAGCAAATTTGAAGCTCCACTCCCTGGGGTTGTGGAGAACACTGAATCTCGCTTTTTGAATCAGTGAATTTCATTCTTTTTTTTCTCCACTCCCTCCTTGGGTAGCCTCTCCGAGGGGGGGGGGGGGTTTCAGAGGAAAGAGATCAACGTGTTGATGACGAAAAGTGCCCTTTTTGTTGTTTGCAATGCACCATTTCGCATTTTAAAAAAAGTGAAATTAGCTGGCATTCATTTAGGCTTTGAGCGCTGGCTCCGGTCCTGTCTCCAAGTGTTGCCGGATATCGTGCCGAAATGATACCAGATTCGAGATTACTTCAGCCTTCGTATCAGCGTCTGGATTTTCTGTGTTTTTTTTATGTATGAGATATTTTTGTGCTGAGTTCATGAGTTGAGCTGAGAATGAAGCGGTGGTCAGCATTGATTGATCGATGTGGTGGGATATGGAAATATCTTATCCGGCTCATTTCACGCCTAGTAAACCATAGCGTACCATCAAGCATCTCTGATTTGGACGAAAATCGGTGTACATGAACTAGGATCAACGTCAAAGAACGCATGTCAACCAAATTATTACATCTCGTACCTATCTCCAGATGGGGTAAAGGCACCAGTTCGTGGACGGGTGCCTATTTGTGGACGATTTCGCGCTTTCTGCCATCCAAAAAATATATACACAGGAAATTCATAATCTTGAATGCTCCATGTTATGCACATGCCAGTCGGCCACTGTATAAATTATGCATGCATATTAGCATGAGCTAACTTAGACATTTTCGCTTCGTTTTAGATGTAGCACCCCTGAATTCCTTAAATGTCCAGTGACTTTTCTTAACGGATGCGAACCCTTTACAAAGTTGATAGTTGCCCAAGAATTAGTGTGAGCCTCGAGTATGATATTCAGAAATGTTGCTAGAAGTTCCTAATTCATATTTCTATCCATGTATGGATTTAAAAAATTTAAAGATTTAAAGGATTTAATAAAAAAAAAAAATCCTTTAAAGCGACGAAAGAGTGGCGTCCACAAACTGGATCCTCGATCCCAGATTGTTCCTCTATTTGTAGACATGTATTTGTAGACGGTGGTGTTCACGAAAAGGAACCCTTCCTCCAGCATGTGGAAGACTTTCTTTACGGTGGAGGCAGGCAGTTTCAAAGTACACATACCCTGTAAGTTCATTGTATTTCATTATTTTTATTGCACATATACGTACGAGTCCCTTATTCGCTCTGATGCTTTTCTTCAGATGTACCTATCATTGTCGTACCTATCAATCCACCTCACGGAGAACTTACATGCACTGCAAACATATCAGCCAGAACCCGATATGGTGCCCACAAATAGAAAAAAACTCCATTCTGAAGATGACTGCTTCTTAGAGTGTTGACAACCTAGATTTATAAGTTTAGCATTTTCGTGTTTGTGGGGATGTAGGCCCGGGGCCTAAGAAAACGTACATACATACATACATTTTCTAGGCCGCTTTTCCCAATTTAATGGGGTCGCGGTTCGAGCATCCCCAGGAGCGTCCTCCAGTGATCTCGATCCTGGGCAACAGACTCAAGCTCAGCTGGTGGGATGCCGAGCCTCTCGTGACAAAGCGGAGCGACGTAATCACCCCACCTTGTACGAGGTCTACCGACAGGTCTTTTGCCGGTCATCTTGGCCTGGAAGACTCCTCTTGGGAGCCTTTCAGGGGGCATGCGGCTGACGTGTCCAAACCACATGGCCTGAGACCCCTCGATCCAGAGAAGCAGCTGCTCGACGTGGAGACTCTCGCGGATGGCAGAGTTCCGCATCCGATCACGGCGCGTTACGTCAGCCACTCGACGCAAGAACAGCTTGTGTCCGCGATTTGGTGCTTTCGGTCATGACCCAAAGTTCATGACCATAGGTGAGGGTGGGGAGATAAACACTCTTAAAAACCGAGAGTTTTGCTTCCTTAGAAACTTCCGGTCTGGCAACCATGGTTCGCCAAAGTTCCCGTAGAACTCGCCTTGGAGATGCGGTTGTCGATCTCGTTTCCGTGTCGCCCATCACTCGACAACCAAACCCCGAGGTACTCGAACTTCTCCACCTGTTCCAGTGGGACCCCATTGACATGCAGGGTGCACTGAGCAGGATTTCTCGAGAGGACCATGACCTGTGTCTTGGAGACGCTCAGTTTCATTTCGGCCGCAGTGCATTCGGAGTCGAACCGATCGAGCACGCTCTGGAGCTCCTGTCGAGAGCGGGTCGAAAGAACGGCATCGTCGGCGAAGAGAAGTATCCTTACCGCGACGTCACCGATGTAGACCCCCTCCAGGCCGAGGCTGCGCCTACAGATCCTGTCCATGTACACGAGGAACAGGAAAGGTGAGAGGACACAACCCTGCCGGAGTCCAGCGCGTACCAGAAAACAATCCGAACTCCTCCCGCTCACTCGGACGCAACTTCTGCAATCGATGTATGAACTGAACGGCCCACAATAGCTGACCCTTGATCCCATACTCCTGCAGCACTCCCCACAGTTTTCCTCGGGGTACACGGTCGTAAGCTTTTTCCAGGTCCACAAAGCACATGTAGACATCTTTGGCATACTCTCAATGTCTCTCGAGGATCTGGTGGAGAGTGAACAGCTGATCCGTGGTGCTGTGCCCTTCACGAAAGCCGCACTGGTCCTCTTGGATGGCTCCACCCACCACTGCCCGAGCTCTCTTTTCCAGCACCTTGGAATAGACTTTACCAGGTATGCTGAGGAGAGTGATCCCACGATAGTTTGTGCACTCCCTCGAGTCCCCCTTCTTAAAAAGAGGAACCACCACACCGGTTTGCCAATCCTTAGGCGCCGTTCCCGATTCCCAAGCAGCCTGACACACCCTATAAAGCCACGAGCACCCATCTGTACCCATTACTTTCAGAGTCTCTGCCCGGATTTCAAGATTCAAGATAGGGATACCAAGAGGCGATTTCACCCATTTCGATATCACGTGTCGAGGTCGAGCGTTCCTTACAGTTTTTCCCAATTGCTAAAGCCCTATTTCATATCTCAATGGACAATTTTCAAAACTTAACGTACGATCCGCAAAACGCTGCGCTCTTTTCTCATATCTATGCGTCCGGCAGTCAAANTTGAAGGAAATTCAAGGTACATTTCATGCCTCTACTGAGTATAGTTGATCTATTCTTGTGACAACCAGCGGCGAAGTCAGGAATTCGCCAATGGAGGGCTAAGGGAAACGAACAGAGTCTATTTTTCGAAACTCTTCGAGAGGGATGGTGGTAGCGGATGGATTTAGAGCAGAGTTTCGGGGGATTTACCACTCCAGCCAGCGCATAACAGCCTGAAAATTGTCATAAATAAACATATTGTTGGAAAACTCTTACTTTTTTGATAAAAAATGACCGAAACATATGAACGTAAAATATGCACATGTTGAGAAAAGTGTAAAACATGCATTTTTATGCATTTAAAAAATGGCAGAAATCACTTCCTATACCAATAAGACACGATCCTATCTGGGTTGTATGTTCCTAGGAGGCTGCAAAAAAAATATGCATCCCTCGTCAGCATTCAAAAAGAGTGCAGGGCGTTACATCTGGTCGAAAACCCCTTTACGAGCCAATTGTGCGAGCCTAAGTTGGAAAGATTTGGCGATAACATGAGATTTTCGCAATTAACACTCATATCTATGAACGAAAATGGGCCCCAAGGTCATACAACTTTTGTAACCTATGGCAAACAGAAATGACCAGAAAATGGCTGACGGATGTGATCAGCTCAAGGCAATAAGCAACAATTTTCACCCATGCACGACGTACTGTACGTACTCCTGAAGCAGCCAACGAGGCTAAACTCGGGGCTGCAATTCCCTTTTCAACCCTTTTTAGCTGGTAGTAACAGAAATTAATCGCAAGTAAATACTCAAGATCAGGTATTTAGGATACTACTGAATCGCAGTCAGCATTATCACTTGTCAATTACATTTCTGCATCGACGTAAGAAATTCTTTCAATGTTTGAGACGAAGCATTTAGCTCTGACAACTCTAAACGATGAGAAAATCTTTGTGATCGGTTGGAAGGGACTTGTTGGAGTATAAGCCAATGGATTGTAGTCGTCAGCCATGCATCCATCCTTGGCGCTCGTCGAATCGGCCTTCTTATCCTTTTCCGTACGTTAAGTTTCGAAAAAGGTTCGTGAAGATGTGAAAATCGCACTTCGAGTTTTGTGAAAAGATTGCAGAGTTCAGGAATTTGTTCAAATTGTTTTGAAAACGGAAGTGTAGTTTTGAGAAACGGACGTTAGCAATTGGGAAAAGCTGTAATATTAGGGTAGGCCTAACCCTCTTAAAGCTAAATATTTTTGCATTTTTATTTTGTTTTGTTTTGTTTTTGTTTTGTTTTTGTTTTTTGACTATC